ATATGTCAGAAAAAGCAAACATACTTCAATGGGGGATGCCTGGCTCGAGAGCAGTACGTGTGAAAAAGATCTTGGAGTCCTCGTGGACAACAAGTTAAACATGAGCCAACAATGTGATGTGGCAGCAAAAAAAGCCGATGGGATTTTGGCCTGCATCAATAGGAGCATAGTGTCTAGATCTAGGGAAGTAATGCTACCCCTCTATTCTGCTTTGGTTAGACCACACCTGGAATATTGTGTCCAATTCTGGGCACCACAATTCAAGAGAGATATTGACAAGCTGGAATGTGTCCATAGGAGAGCAACTAAAATGATAAAAGGTCTGGAGAACAAGCCCTATGAGGAGCGGCTTAAGGAGCTGGGCATGTTTAGCCTGAAGAAGAGAAGGCTGAGAGGGGATATGATAGCCATGTATAAATATGTGAGAGGAAGCCACAGGGAGGAGGGAGCAAGCTTGTTTTCTGCTTCCCTGGAGACTAGGACACGAACAATGGCTTCAAACTACAAGAAAGGAGATTCCATCTGAACATGAGGAAGAACTTCCTGACTGTGAGAGCCGTTCAGCAGTGGAACTCCCTGCCCCGGAATGTGGTGGAGGCTCCTTCTTTGGAAGCTTTTAAACAGAGGCTGGATGGCCATCTGTCAGGGGTGATTTGAATGCAATATTCCTGCTTCTTGGCAGGGGGTTGGACTGGATGGCCCATGAGGTCTCTTCCAACTCTTTGATTCTATGATTCTATGATTCTATGATTCTAAGGTTCACCTGCATATATTTATGATTGTGAGGTGTATGTTTTCCAGGCCACACTAGATATTAGGCGGTTAATTTACTTTGCCTTTCAGAGTACTTAAGAGAGTTTGCTGCGCCCACGAACAGCATCACAAAAGGAAACAGCTCTGAAAATGTCAGATTCAATGGAATCCATATAAGGTTACCGTTCTGTTTATTATTTTACTGGTGCTGCTTTTATGCCTCATGGGAACTTTACACAATGAAACATTGCAACTATAATCATCATCATCTTATTTGTATCCCACCCACTCTCCCAAAGAGACTCAGGTTGGCTTACAAAATATACAATATACATAGTAATAATCCCAACCAAAACAATATAAATCATCCATTCATAATACAAAAACAAAAGCAGCCATAAAACTCTTAAATTATAACATCAAAACATCACAAAGTATAAAATTTTGTACTGGAATAAAACATATTATACATAAGAGGCAAATATATACATACACATACAGAGAGTGGCCCCTTTCAAACCAAGTTGCTAAAATCCTTTGGGGGGACCCTGAACACTACAAGATTGTGTTATAGTTGCTCTTTGCTAACCTTCTTTTAATGCCAAAGGATGAAACACTCAGGGATCCCTTTCCGGACACACTTTGGAAGGCTTTTCTTCACTCTTTGCCATATTTGCTTAGAGTAGCTTGTCTTCTGATGATTGATTTTAAAGTATGTTCAGCTCCAGGAAGATATGTTTTTCTTTAGATGAAAAGGAAGTATTTAATAGGTTGCCTATTTTGAGACAGGGTTTACTGTAGTTCTAATTAAAATCTGAAAAACAAAAGAATGGTCCAGAGATGGGAAACACTCGATAGACTGTATAATCCACTCCCAAAGAAAGCCGACACTAAGACACTAAGAACTGCAGTAACCACGGGGCCGTTGCATTAATTTCCCTTGCAAGGAAAGTGATGCTCAAAGTTCTACAATAAAGCCCTTGACCATGTCTAGAGTGGGAAATGCCAGATGTCCAAACTGAATACAGGAAAGGAAGAGAAACCAGGGAACGAGGGATCATATTGCAAACATTGGATAGTGGAGCTAACCAATTAATTTCAGATGAAAATCAGCCTGTGCTTTACAGATTATGACAAAGCCCTTTGATTGTACAGATCATGAAAAAAACTGTGATTACTTTCAAATAAATGAGAGTGCCACATTTGTTTGTCCAAATGCATAACCTGCACTCAGAATAAGAGTGTATTTTTTTTGTGTGTATCAGGAGCGACTTGAGAAACTGCAAGTCGTTTCTGGTGTGAGTGAATTGGCCATCTGCAAGGAAGTTGTCCAGGGGACACCCAAATATTTTGATGTTTTACCATCCTTGTGGGAGGTTTATCTTATGTCCCCGCATGGGGAGCTGGAGTTGAAAGAGGGAGTTCACCTGTTGGTCTTCAGTCCTGCCAGCACAAGGGTTTAACCCATTGCGCCACCGGGGTCTGGAAAGGATTGCAGTTAACAAGGACGTCAGGTAAGATTTTATCTTAGTATTTTCCTGGAAACATTCCCTCATCCTGGTTGCCAAATCAGGCTCCCTCCCAGGGGATCCCATTTAGGTATGTCAACACCCTCATCACTCATTGTATGGCCAATCAGCACCCATTGTCTTGTTCCAGCCATGCGGGAACAGCGTCATCAAAATGCATTATTCCTGACTCAACCACACTGCTTTTTTCCAACACCTCTTTCCCAGCCAGACAAAGAACAGCAACTAGACTTCAAATTCAGTAAATGATGGTTTTTAAAATTTCCTGCCATGACTGGAGCCATTCAACAGCAACAATGGACAGTGCTCCTGGACCAGTCGGGGAATGTATCCTAGCCAGCACTGACTTAGACTAATCAACAGCCAGCATGGCAACATTTCTTTGTTTTATTTATTTATTTATTTATTTCTTGCATTTGTTAACCGCCGCTCTCAGCCCCGAAGGGCGACTCGTGGCGGTGTACAAAACATAGAAAAAGACAGTTTACAGTGAATCAAACAATACAAACACTCAACTACTACATAACCACTATACTAAACAGTTTTTAAACAGTTGTCAAAGAGCTATAAATAAATACATACATTCACAATTGAACTTATGCCAGGTCTTTGAGCACAGGCTCTATTGATATCCTTTTTTTTGGCTAAAGTAGAATAAAGCCTCTGCCCAAGGTCACCAAGTGAATTTTCATGGCTGATCAGGGGTTCAAACCCTATTCTCCAGAGTCATAGTCCAACACACAAACTACTTCACCATGTTGCTTGTGAGAATAATCTAGTAGACATGCATTAATTACATTCTGTAGGGCCAGAAAAGCTTGTCGAAGGATTGAAATAACATGCTGATTTACTCTTTGAACCCTTTGTCATCATTTAAAAGAACAGGAGAAGCATCAGAGGACTGAAGAACAGCAGGCACTGTCCTTTTCTTTCAAAAACATTGAAATATATATTCTATGTTCAACTACACTCTGCCCTAATCAGGACTAAGCTAGGGCATTGTGTTCAATTCTGAGCATCTCATTTTAGGGGGAATATAGGGAAGTTGGAGCAAGTTCAGAAAAGGGCAGAAAAGAAGGAGGAAGGTTGGAAAGAGATATGGAGAACGAAGTAGAAGAAAAGTTAGAAGGAATTCAGCTGAGTAAAGAAAAGACTGAGAATTGACATTATTGTACTCTATAAGTATCGCAAGGATTATAACAGTTTGTTCTCTGCTGCTTGAGAAAGTAGGACCAGGTCTAATGGCTTTAAATTATCGGAGTGTAGGTTGTCACTGAAACATCTGGACAGCAAAAGCTGTTAAGTAATAATGGAACTAATTGAATATAAGTAGTGAACAAAAGTTAGCTGGGCACCTGGGTTGGGGATGATGCATCCCAGTTCAAGAAACGAGACCATAAGACTAAATCCACCACACTGGACTGTAGGAAAAGCAATCCTTGTTTATTGATGAAAAATTGGTTACAAAAGAAAGGTAAATGCAAAGTCAAAAAGCCACAGAAAAACACAGCAGTCAGTAGAATCTCTGAACTTGAGCAAAATTTCAAAAGCCACAATACAAGAACCAGGAACCTGTTAGTATTTTACTAACCATGAACTTGATAACTAAGCCTCTGGGATTACCGGCCATGAAACACACGAATTCTGCCAAGGCACAGCCACAGTCCCAAACGTTGCTTGATCTAAAGAGGCACCCGGCAGGAGGCCTCTTAAACCAAAGAAGCTATTCTTTGAAACGCCCCTTGACTTTGAAGCCTGGGCCTGTCTCTCCTGTAAACGATGTGACCTTCGTAGAAACTGGGAAACATTTCTGTCTCTAACTATCTGTTCTCTTCGGTCCTCATTAAAAACCCCAGGTGGAGCGATATCATGGCTAGTGATATCATGGCTAACTTCCAAAACATTTTCCTCCAGCTGTTGAGTTTCATTTTCATCCCCGCTGACCTCTGCATCAACAACACATTCCACACTGTCAGGGCCAGGGAGAGCTTGCTCAGTTGGAAAAACTATCAGAGAATCCGGTTCACACTGATCAGGATCAGGCTGAACCCCCACAGGGGATGGATTTCTTAAATTGACAGTAGGGAAGGATTGGACTGAAAGGTCTACGGTGGCAATGGTGTCACCTCCTCCACCTCTTCCCCGCCGTGCCATTGTTCTTCATTACTACTCTTCCACATTTGACTGAAAATATAATAGAATTCTCTGAAACAAAATTTTTGAATATTTCTTTTCATTAACATTTTTTCCAAATCGCATTTCTTCTACCTATCATCTTTTCATGTTCCTCTTGTTGTTTTTGTTGTTGTTGTTGTTGTTGTTGTTTACATTATGGAAAAGAAAACTTTACCAAAAGCACACAGAAGCCTTCTAGCTGATAAAACAGTCCAACAATTATAGACTTTGCCACAAAATGAAAGAACCGCTCTTGACAATATTCTCCAGCAACTTTTTACCATGTCCTTACCTTGTCCTTGGATTGTTCCCTTTTATTTGTGAGGCAAATTCAAGTTATTTGATTCCCTGTATGTCCCAGTGGGACATTAGTTGGGAGTTGGGTCATTAGCAACAGAATCCTACTACTATTTGCATTGCTTTCAGTCGCATGATATAACCACCCAAGAGGCCCCCAAGCAGCAGTTTTCTTCAGCAGACCTGAAACAGAAGCAATCAGAATCAGGTACTTCTTCTCAGCTATTTTCCTCAGAAAGTGGCATAATGGATAATAACTTAATTTCTTCATTGGGTATCGTTACATGGACCATTGTTGGAAGCATGTCCATGGTTGCCATTTTAGGAAATGTATTCATCATAGTTGTGAGTGGGAACCAATGGCTCCAAACCAAGAAGATGGCACCTTTTGATTTTCTCTTGACTAGTTTGAGCATCTCCAGAGTGTTTTGGTATGTAACCTCTGGACTTAACTATCTTTTGGAAGTCAGCATTGGTGACGCCTTTATGTATTCTTCTGCCCAGGAAGCCATCGGTTTTGTCTGCATGTTTTCTGGCATGGCCAGCCTCTGGTGTGCTTCATGGCTTAGTGTGTTCTATTGTGTGAAGGTCACCAACTTTGCCAACCGCTTTTTACTCTGGCTAAAGCCAAGGATCAATGTGCTCTCGATTAGACTGCTTGGAATGTCAATAAGTAGTCTTGTCATCATGTCCGTTCTCTTCTTCTGCAGTTATGCTGAAGAAAAAAAGCGGTGCAATCTGACAGGGAGCTTGCCAGTGAACATCAGTCAAAGAAAGGCTTGTCAAGCCTTAATTTTTATTTTTGTTCCTTTTCAGTTAATTGTTGCATCCATGAATTTCATCATCAGCCTAACTGCAACCGTTCTTTTGCTCCTCTCTCTGTGGAAACACACAAGGAATCTGAAAAAGAGTGGTATTGGTGCAAAAGACCTAAGTACTCAGATCCATATTAATGTCATGAAGTCTTTCGTGTTTTATATTTTCCTCTACATTTTATATTTCACTGGTATGCTAAATTTGGCAAATAATTTGCACACTGCTAATGCCATGCAGCTTTTGTCTGCCATCCTTCTTACCATATTTCCTTCAGCACACACCATAATATTAATTTTGAGCAATCCAAAACTGAAATCACTGTTAGTTCGCACTCTAAATATAAGACGAAAAGCTTAATAAAGAGAAGAGGCACCAGACTTGCATTTCTTTTTCCCCAGGAAAAAGGCAACCACATTTCCTAATGTCAAGACTGATAGTTATCCGAAGAATATGTGATGATGCATCTTTGTATTTGACAATCCCGACTATACAGAATGAATAATAAGCTGAATTTCTGGATATTCTCTTTCTTCTAATCTTCATAAAATGCATTTCTGGAAATTGTTACGTGTCATCATTTGCGCAGAGACTTCCACATGTCAGTCTGTAATAGCTAAAAGTCAACACAATTGCCACAGCTGATAAAAGATGAAAATATATATTGGCTTTTCATTTATTTCAATTGTTTATGTTAGCTAAAAATCATTTACACAGAGACTTCCGCATGTAAGTTTGCAGTAGCTGAAAATCAACCTAAGTGCCACAGCTGATAAAATATGAAAATATGTATGTGTCTATTCATTTGTTTCAACTATTTATGTGATCTTCATAACAGTTGGCCAAATTGAAAAAGAAGATTTTTTTATTTCATTTTTATTTCCTGTGCTGGTCTATGACTGAAATAAATGATTCAATTTGATGATTTGATCCTAAAGCTATGTGCTCTGCGCTAGTGCCCCCTTTGGCGCTGCTCATATGTCAAAGGGAAACTTGGTCCAAGCGATAGCTTTTAACTCAATAGGCTCTTAAGTTGAAATGCTTTGAAGTTGAAGTTCCACTGTATTCTTAAAAATAAATAAAACATGATTTCATTTTTATTTACATAGTAATACAATGCAAATTTTAGTTGCACACAGCAATAATATTGGAGCTTATATTGTCAATCTACTAAAAGTTCATTAACGTTTTAATATATTGTTTAATGTTTATGACGGCCCACTTGTCATCGGGCAAGCGGACACCCTGACTTGTCCACCCCTGTATATATATTATGCATGTATACACACACTCACATTGTATTCCTTACATTTTAAGACACACTTTTTCCTATATAAATATCTCTAAAATGGGATATGTCTTAGAATGGCAGGTGTGTCTTACGTATGTTGTTGTTGTTGTTGGTACTGAAATTAGAGTGCGTCTTATAATTGATGATGTCTAACAATTCAAGAAATATGATGTATACACACACACACACACACACAGAGCCCCCTATATCCATGGATTTTGGGCCTGTGGATTCAACCATCCACCGCTTAAACTGAATACAGGAAAGGAAAAGGAACCAGAGAACTGGGATCATGTTTGTTCTGTCACGCACTGGGCCTGTAATAATTGTCTTTTGAACCTTGTGCCCAGCGGGAAGCCAGGGTGCCACGAAAGAGGCCCTCAAGGATTTTCCTGAAGAAATGGTCTTTAGATGGCTTGAAAGGTTAAACAAAGTCCTTTATTATTGAACAAATTAAACAGATATTTCTCAAATCTTCAATGAGTCAAACAAATGCTTCAAGGCTTTAAATCAACTGGATGGCTTCCTTAATCTTGTCCACAAGGGACAGGCAACTGTCTTAGTTAATTGTTCTTATACTTTGAGAGGAAAACCCTTTTTTAACCTCTCCCAGGCTGTCTGTTATCTAAGTTTTGTTGGTGTGGGATCTACTACCGATTCCAAACTGCATCTTGGTACTGAGTAAACCTACCAGACAAAGCTTGTAGATTCTCCAGCTGGAGTTCTTTGGGTCTGTAAAGCTGTTTTCCCTCTGGAATTTCTTTAAGACTTTAGGGCTGTTTCCCTCAGATGCTGTAAGGCTGAGAGGCTGCAAGCTCCCAGCCAGAGCTTTGGGAATTTCCCCCCGGAATGTCTTGAGAAATGAAGCTTTTCTGCAGGTGAAGCTTGTCCACGTCATCTAACTTAGCTTTCCTCACCAAGACTAACTAAAATGGCCCCCTTTTCCCTTCCCATCTCCCTGGGAGAAGGGGTGGATCCAAACTTAACAATGATAGACAGGTGGCTTGCCCTATGACTGCAAACCAAAGGAAGCCACATTTTTTGCAGAATCTCTGAAACTTTGGAATGCATGCAAACACTTAATAGAAAGAAAATAAAGTTGGAGCTCCTGGTACATTCGTACCAGCACAATGTTGTAAACCAATTAATTTCAGATGAAAATCAGCCTGTGCTTTATAAATCAGCCTGTGCTTTATGAAAATCAGCCTGTGCTTTACAAAGTCATTTGATTGTACAGATCATGAAAAACTGTGATTACTTTTTTAAAAATGAGAGTGCCACAACATTTGCTTGTCCAGATGCATAACCTGCACTCAGAACAAGAGTGTATTGTTTGGAAAGCTTTACAATTAACAAGGAGGCCAGGCAAGTCTACATTTTATCACCCTATCTGAACATATAAATAAAGCAGGAGAAAGGGGGCATGATCCTGATCTCTCCCTAGAAGCCAACATGACTAAACTACGGTTTTGTTTGAAGGACCTGAGCATGGCTCTTGAAGCTAGGTGACTTGCAGGCAGGGGCGGCTCGTCCATTACGCGAAGTAAGCGGTCGCAGAACACTTTTTTTTGCCAGGGGCGCAGAGGCGCCTCTGTAAATGCCCCTCGACCGCCACTTGAGGAGCGTCCCCTCAGCTCACAACAGCCCTAGCAATCCGCGGGGAGCCTCGGCTTTCTTGCCTCGCTGCCGGGGTATCCTCTTCCCAAAGGGGCCGGGCCCTTGAGCCTCACCTAGCCCCCCTCGTTCCTGCTCCACCTGATCACTGGGTGCGCGAGCAGAGCCAGCGCTCAATTGTTCTCTGCGTTCGATCCCTTCCCCATGACCGGCTCCCTTTCCCGATCCCCGGCGCTCCACCCACCTCCTCTCCTCTCCCCAATCCGGGGGTGGGCCAAGGGGCGGATCCGCCACGCCTGGCCCGCTTCAGGTCCGGAGGTGTGCCTGAAGACCCCAGCGTGTGCACCAAAAGTCGCCTCTTCTCCTGACTTTCTCTTCAGCCATTGGGACCGAGAGAGAGAGAGAGAGAGCCCCTCCGGCTGGAGGTATCTCCCACCTCCGCTCCCTCCTTTGTTTTTGCGCCTACCTTCAGGAAAGGTGGGCATCTCCACCTCTGTCTCTCTCTCTCTCTCTCTCTCTCTTTCGGTCCCAATGGCTGAGGAGAAAGTCAGGAGAAGAGGTGACTTTTGGTACACACGCCGGGGTCTTCAGGCACGCCTCCGGACCCAAAGTTGGCCAGGCAAGGGAGCAAGTGCGGCAAGTGTAGTTACTGAGATGTATAGTTCACCTACAATCAAAGAGCATTCTGAACTCCACCAATGATGGAATTGAACCAAATATGGCACACAGAACTCCCACGACGAACAGAAAATATATATCAATGATTGGTTGGGGGGGGGGGGGCAAAATACTGTTTGCTTACCATTGAAAATTACCTAGGGCCGCCTCTGCTTGCAGGTCTCTCATTTATAGGCTCAACAGAAATTGGCTTGACAGCAGTTAAAAACAATTGTTCCAGCAGTTCAAAACGAGTCCCTCCAATATGTGAAACTGCAAACCATGCAGTTCATGGTACCTGAAAGGGTTGTCCATGTGCCATTTGTTAAGTTGCTGTTCCTGTTCGATAGATTGCCTCCACGGTAGCTTACCAGATTATAACAAGTGAAAGAACTGAATGATGAAGAATGACAATATTGTACTAAACAAAGTTACGTCGTGGCGACGCAAAAGGTTAAACCCTTGTGCTGGTTGAACTGCTGACCTGAAGGTTGGTAGTTCAAATCCATGAGACGGGGTGAGCCCTGTCTGTCAGCTCCAGCTTCCCATGCAGGGACATGAGAGAAGCCTTTCACAGGATGGTAAAACATCCGGGCATCCTCTGGACAACGTCCTTGCAGACAGCCAATTCTCCCACATCAGAAATGACTTGCAATTTCTCAAGTTGCTTCTAAAATGAAAAAACAGAAAACTAAGGACCCCACCCAAAATGTAAGAAATCTTATGAAATGACATTACCTAATAAGATTGAGATGGGCTATAAAATATGGATTGGTTATATTAGTTTATACATTTATATCAGTCTATAAATTGGATGTAATACAAAAAGAGGGAAAGCATGATAATAATAAAATGATATAAATACTAACCTACTAAATTTTAATTGAAAATTTTCTTCATAGATAATAAATATTTTAAGAAAATATTTAATGTGAAACAATCTGTTATGAAAAATTAAAATAACTTTCCATTGAAGAAGAACTGAAAAATAATATATGAAGATGCTGAGACGATGTGAGAAGTTGCAAGAAGATACAACCAATGAACTTAAAATGAAAATTGTTGGAATCTTCAATATTTTATGAAATGTGTGTTAAAGAAATAGAGAGGAAGACTTAGTGTAACAATGATCATTTTGTAGAAAGAACTCCCCATACCCCAACAACCCCTACTCTCTTTGTTTTCTTTTTGCAGTATATTTGTAAAGATGCAACTAGCCAATAACAAATCTATTATCCCCAATTTTTTCCCTTCCCTTTCCCCCCAACCCCTACTCTCCTAGTAAATGTTTAATAAAAATTATTTGAAAAAAGAGAAAAATAATAACAATTTCAACCATGGTCTCTGGAGTTCTAGTCTAATACTCTAACAACTACACCATATTAACTCTTGGATTTCTGATCACTGTAAATTTCAGTAATCTTAAAATGTCTTTACACTAATGTCCTCTTCATTCCTATAGGGACCTTTCCACACAGCCCAGAATATCAAGGCAGAATATCTCGCCGTATCTGCTTTGAACTGGGTTATCTGAATCCACACTGCCATGTGTTGCTTATTGGTTCAGTGGTTCAGTCGCTTCCAACTGTTCGTGACCGCATGGACCAGCCCACGCCAGAGCTCTCTGTCAGCTGTCACCACCCCCAGCTCCTTCAGGGTCAAGTCAGTCACTTCAAGGATACCATCTAGCCATCTTGCCTTTGGTCAGCAACACTGCCATATATTCAAGTTCAAAGCAGATAATGTGGGATTTTCTGCCTTAATATTCTGGGATATAGGGCTGTGTGGAAGAGCCATA